AAAGTAAATATGAGGACAAGGTTAGCTGTTATTTTTCATACGTCTTTAGTCTTCGTTAATTTCAGACCCAAATCTATTATCCCAAAAAGGTAATAACACTACGGTATCAGAAAACATAACTATTTGTTCAACAGAACGCGTTGCTGTAGGGCCTCGCCATTCTGCTCGTTAGCCGCAGACTGTAGTTCTCTCACAGATTTGATAACCTCTGGACTTTGCAGTAATATAGCCTATCACTCAACAGACAGGAAGAACATTTGCTTGTAATTCGTTAAACATTCGCCTGCCTTAAAAATGCTACAAATAAGAGTTACAGATCCTATTGAGACACATATTTTTTCGTCAATTTAGATTTCCGCGGCTGCAGGTCAATGTTTAACTTCGGCTTTCTGGGATAAGCTGCATTGAATGCTGAAGGTTTCAACGGTGCTTATTCACGAAAACTGAAAAATTTAAATAGCGACCTTCGAAATCCATGGAGCAGATTCCTTCTTGAGGAATTAACAGTAGCGGAGCTGGTCAAGAAACTCCTCGTTTCAAAGGGGTTTACAGCTTCCATCATTATGGCGATTATGACCATGAAGATCGTAATCACCTCTGAAACGTCGGTAAATTTCTACGAGACTAAGTAGCGCAAAAGCCCAGGAAACAGTGGTCTTCACACTCGTCGCCGTGAGAACTCTAAATCTCAGTCTATAGCTCTTCATTGTGGATTTTTTTCCACCCTCCTGTAACTTCTTCACCCCTAACTCCTACAGTATCTACACGTGATCAATTAGGGTCAACAAAGTAACGTAATATCACACACCTATAACTTGGGGTACCGTAAACACACACCACAAATTAAAATGCTACGTAAAAGAACATGGGGTCAGCTGAGCCTGGTGTGTAGCATGGCTCACTGCAGTGCCTTAGAAGAATTACACAACCTGACTTGGTGTTATGGTATATGATGCATTTTAATGTGTTGTGTATAAAGTTTAATCCACGAAACCTATGTGGATGGAACGATCGATTTGCTTATATTATAAACCAAATAGGGAGAACGAAATGAGCTTACGGCGGCTATAAAAGAGACTTTGTTGTGAAACAAAATCCTGTGGCTCACCACACACAAAATTTGTCGTACATTATCTACATGGCACATTAGTCTGGCCTAACCGAAGGCAGGCTTATGACTGTGTTTCGTTTTGCCATTTCTCCCTCGCCACACGTAACGATTATACGATAATGACTCGGTGGCAAAGGTCTCGTTTGTGACAATTGTGCGTCCAATCCGAACGTGAGATGTGCCAGGTGAAATGTTATATTGCGCATTCTACCCCCTACGCTCACAGAGAAGACGAAACGAATTTTAGGAGATCGATAGCCTTAATAAAATATTGGCAAGTGGAATTAGGAATCTTCCAGGACTGTTTTATCCGATTAATCTAGTTTGTTGGATTGTTCGCACATAAATCAGATCTCAGATAGGATACACTGTTTCCAACAGTATTTTTTTTAAATCCAGGAGAAATTAATACAACAGTTCCCAATTACTCTAGAAGGTCTACCGTCTCGAGTAATTCTGGTCTTGTTGAATATGTCAGGGTTACTGTACGTAACATTGGCAGCAGAAATACGTCTAAGGGACTGACCTTGTAGCGGTGGTGTGCATTAAAAACAGCGTCAACTGATAATACTTGTAAACCTGATACTGGTTCGAATCCATTAAATCGAACCCCTGTTTAAAATGAACCTTATGAAATTTAACAGATTCGTTAATGTCTTAGCTGAACAGAATTGCATCTTTCGTAATATTTGCACTAGCGGACTATTTTCGGAATTAACGAGGACAACCGTGAGGGGGAAGGGGAAATACCCGATCCGGATTTGGTGGTCGTCATAATTCTGTCCGATGTTAGAAAACCAGAGCTTTCTGCTGATGATGGTCGAAGACCATGCAACAAGTCTGCGGATGCCTTTACGGAGTACTTGAGCGACGTGTATATTTTCGTTAAGCTTTATATGTCCTGTCTGCCAGAGTAAATGTCCCATGTGGCTCCTACTGCATCCTGTTTAACACTGTAGATGAGAAATCTGCGAATTTCGAAAATAATTCAAATTCTCAGCTGTTTTATTAAATATCTCTGGCTATATCATAAAACGAAATTAAGTCTTTTTACAAGCCTATTACTTCCTCTGGCTGGTTAATGAAGATTTGTTTATAACATTAATTACCAATTTAGGTCAGCAGTTTCGTAAGTTATACTGAAAAAATGAGGCCAAGTATGGCGACTGAAATCAGAAAGTCAGACGTTCTACATAAGCCAACTTTTGCACTAATTCGCTCAGGTTTGTAATTTGATTTTAGTACAGAAAAAAAACACGGAGGTTTTACGAAAATTTAAGTAGGCGTGCGAATATTTTTCAATAGGCTGCTCACCATTTTGAATACGTGAGAGAGAAATAATTACACTACACCACTATGAGACAGGTGTTAAAATTAGTGCGGGATAATGATGATCTATTAAAAACAGAAAACGCCTGTTTAAAAAATACAGTTGTGTATCGTGCTGTCAAAATAAAAGCTGGTTCGTAACATTTGTGACTGTCAAATGATAATTACGAGTACAGAGGCAATATTACATGGACCGTAAGCCCACATTGGCTTCATTACCATTTACGCATGCGTCTACACATGTGAAATGATTAACAGAGCATAATTAATTGTTTAACTTAGCGTCGTCCATCTACATGGAAGGGATCTACGGACTGACACAGCAACAAGCAAAACCTTGCCAATAATTTAATACGAATCAGCAAAACGGGGGTGGGGTGTGGAGCAACATGAAATATTAGTGCATCTCTCTGGAGCAGGGCTGTCAACATTTTAAGCGTGCAATTATTCACTGCGATGTTGCATTCAGATTTTGAGTGGAGGCGGGACAGAATTCGAAGAAGCAGGAAAATGTCAAACACTACGTTACATAAAATATTTCTTAGTTATTTTTAATAATTATACATTGCGAATATTTTTTTTCTATTAGTTATTTAAACAAAGTACATACATTAATGCATTACTGAAAATAGTGTCAGTCTTCGTCTTTCATTTCCAAAGTATTAAACGGATTTATATTAAATTTGGTACGACGTTTCCACACCATAACTTGTGGGAATTTTATTTCTGTCCTTCAGACCCTATGAATCACTCATAACCTTGATGACGGAGGCAGCAAGGACCTCTGAAACGTTAGTAAACTTCTACCAGACTACACGGCGTTATAACCCAGAAGACAGCCATCTTCAGCAAATAAATTAACAGTACCCATGGCTGAAAATATTTTAAAGAACGAACAGTAAAAGTCTTTGGCTAATATGCAGAATGGCTTGGTCCCATTCCCTTCAATAAACAGTCCCGTCTCTCGCCACATAATCATTCGCTTTGGTTGGGACACTGGGCCTATTTATAATACTGGAAGTCCCAGGAACAAGAAGACACACAGAACACGAATACTGGATCCCATCGCTTATAGCAAACCAGTTCACATTTTAATATGTATTTTAATAGTATCCTCCTTCCACGTATCCTTTTTCATGAGGTTCCCTAATTTATAATCTGAATACTTCCCCTCAACATTATTTTTATGGGACGTAAAATTATCTTGTTAAGTATTACAAATCGCGTATATTTGTAAAATGGGTATTTCTGAACAGTCTTTTGCTCAGAACATAAACAGTAGGTTTCTAGAACAGTGCTGGAATCGACTTATAAAACCAGGATTAAGGGCGCTGTTACAAACAAAGGTAGAGAATGTGTTTTATAGAGTTTAGGAAGTCTGGTTTCTTTTCTGTTAGCTTGTTATACCTAATATTATGACAGAGCTCAGGCACACAATTCTTCTTTAAATACCAGCTGCTACTTTGTCTTATACTAGAGCACGGGTAAGAAGATTACAAGAATCAACGAAAAATAAAAATCTTGAAGTTTCAACGACCGCTACAAATGTGGGAAGAAGACGAAAGAAAACACCTGGTAGAAAAGAAAATAACGAAACAAGTCAATAAATTTGTATTTCAAAACGAGGTTGCTGATAGTAAATTTAAGTAATCTCAAATAATAAGTGACAAAATACAAGTACAAATAACCTACATTAAAACTCTAGATTTGGCTACTAATTGTTTGTATATGTTATGACACTTTTCCAGCTGAACAGGTCACGCAGCGAGATTTGTGGATAATGAGTCGGAAAGGCTGAAAATATGGTATTGGCCTATAACAAGATACTATCGCAGCATTCGCCTGGAGGTAATGAGGAAAACCATGACTAACATGAGTCATAATAGTCGGTCTCAGAGTCGATATAAGAAATAAGCCATTATATTTGCCTGTGTCTGTGTGCGCGCGTGTGTAGTTATGAAATTACACTATCCAATTAAAGTATTAAAAACTCATGGCGATAAAACCATTACAAAACATGTGTCAAAAATTCCACTATAAAAGTATGCAAGGCTCCACTTAAGCATATATTTTAAGTTTCAGGCGCTAGTTTTATGTGATAGCTGTCTTGTACAACCACCGCAAGCGAATCGACTATAAATCCATCAATCAACCAACAGAAAACAGTGGAAAAACACTGATTCCACCAGCGGGATCTGAAGTGGCAATCCCACTGTGTGAGAGCCACAAGACTACTTGCCCATTACTAAATCTCTCTGAGATTCAGAACGGGTAAATATTTCTTTCTAACGCAGGATACGGAGCGTGACGTATCGTTTCCATCACAGAAATACGACCATACAATTAATTACGTAAAGTAGCCGCAACGAACTACATCCCTCCTGACACAACAACAACTTCACTTTACGTTTCTTATCCGTTGTAAGTAAACGCTCATCGGCCTTAATATTCGCTCACTGCATGTTTAAATATTCTACTAAATCACAATCTACATTTCAGACCTCATCATACAACTGTTTTGATACTTGCCAGTAAGTCGAGTTTCTTTTTCAACAGAAGGCAATAAAATTAGCAAACTTCAAAAGATTATTGTGCTACGCAGATGAAAATCGGTATATTTAGTCTACAATAAAGTTGTCAGAAAAAGCTATAATTTGAACCACGTCGTTTTAGCAATGCTGCCAACAAACCACGATTTAAATCTAGCTATAGTCTGTTATTGTCTGACGTGTGCATTCGCTACTGTTAACCTACAATAAAAGTTGTTCTGCAAAACATGCCGTTTCATCAATGCTGCCAGCACACAGACATTAATTATTACTATCGGGCATTTATAACACGATGAAGGCTTTCATTTGTGACTGTAAGTTTATGAATGCCACCATATTGATCAGACATTCGAAGCTTTAAGATTCTATTTAAAGACACACTTTGGAAAAAATAATACATCAAATGAAAAATCCTTTTTGAAGATTTTAACTACAGTGCCATGGAAGAATTCATTTACTATCTCCATAAGAATGGCAACAACGAAAAATCACCGATTCAAATGTGACAATTCGTTTGTAGTTTTCTGTTTAAAAATGTGAATTTTAACTTGGAGAAAAGTCATCCTTGTTTGTTCTTTGTTACTAATATGTGACGATTCAACAGGTTTCGAACGGAAGAGATGACCTCCAAGCATGTAATGTAGACAGCCGACAAGCGGTGGTCTTCCTGCTAACAACTCACTTTATGAAATGTTGCACAGGCCCTTATGTGGAAGTGACTCAATATTGGGTCTTGCAAACATCTTAGGGTCCATAAAGAGCAGGGATTTTCCTGACTAGCTGAACGACTACCAGTTTCGCAAGAAAGACTATTCAATGGAGTTATTTTAATCATAAAACACCATCCTGTGTCATGAAGGCGAAACTTCGAGGCTATATTCGACAAATTTATCGTAGAAAGAATCCACTCTTAATAACAAGATCTTCCGCAAAATAATGATGATGATAATCTACAGCAAACCTAAGAAATTCTGACTGGAGCAGTATTAAATCCAATGACCATCTGCACACGAGCCCAATATACCAGCCCACCAACTAGAATACATCTTATTGGTGAGTTACAGACTTTCACTGCGCAAATACAACAACGAAAACAACAACACAGGACTTGCAGAACTGGTAAACAGTGCAAATGGAAATATATTTTTTTTTATGAATTCTACCCGGAAACCTTTGTTAACGATATACTTTGTAGTTTAGATGCATCATGTTTGTGTTGGAATTCAGTATATATTTATCTATTATTTCAGTCTATACACAAACTTGATTTTTTAAAATGTTGTTGTTAAAATTAAAATTTGGCGCTTTTCATCGTTATTATGCGCTGAAATTGTAACATTGTAATAACGATGAAAAGCGCCAAATTTTAATTTTAACAACAACATTTTAAAAAATCAAGTTTGTGTATAGACTGAAATAATAAATAAATATATAACGATATACTTGTTATTCGTCAGTCAGTTATCAGTGCTATACAAACATAGATGTGTTTTAAAGACAAACCAATTTAAACCATACATACGTACCGTGTTTACCCGATTATAATAATCTCGAACAAGCCTATAAAGGCAAATACATATTAAGAAACTATGAGGAAAAATTCGTATCACATCGATTTAATAAAAGGCAATTTTAAGACAACTACAAATTTTATAGCCTAATTATCGACGAAAAGCTTTTGCTAAGTCGGGCCAATACGGTAGGCACAATACTCGTGTAACAGATTCTTAGAAATCTGCTGAACGCGTCTGCCGAAGTAATAAACTGGTACCTACCACATAAAAATAGAAGTATTTCAAATATCTGGTCATTTGGTATTTAGGAGTAATTATTGTAAACAGAAACTACAGTCCACGACTGTAATCTTGTGACTTGCAAGGAAGTCCGTAGCGTTAAAGGTAGACGCTATCTTTTCTCCTTCACCCCCACTTCCTCACCCCGCAAATCTCAAGATTACAGTCGTGGACTGTAGATCACATAGCATCGCAATATGGAAGTTGCCACTCCTGCTTTTCGAACTGAGGAACTCGGATTCAATTCTCGACCTGGAGGTGCCTATGTCACCTTAAAACTTTTTTTTTCGGTTACTCCAATCAAATTTCGGGATCGTACATAAAAACAGGCCATGATCGCATTCTAGCACGCCTTTTCAAAGTGGCCATTGACAGACCATCGTACTGTGGAACTTAATGCTTCATAACACACACAAATAAAATGACTTTGTTAAATTAACGAACCTGACTCACGGCGTTTGAGGTCAGTTATGACGGCAAAGTGGTCTACAAACTTGGCAAAAATGGGTCAAAGATGAAATTCTATGTACCTGCCATTTGACATAAATAAATAAACATATATGCAACCAACATAAGAGTTTTATCATACACGAAAGGCCATTTCACTTCCCTTTTTGACGAGTAAATACGATGACATGAGACAATGGACGGCAGATACCAAAGTTTCGAGGAAACATGCCGTCTCCATTTTCAGGGCTGACGAGTCTACAAGGCACCAAAACCCAGATCATCATCGCCATGAAAACCTCAAATTTCATAGCATTTTAAGTGTTTGTACGTACATCTCATCACACACTACTGAATTCTTATATGCAGCGATATTATAGTGTAAAAATTGTATATTTTAATATCATATTGTTCAGAAATGGGTACGAACTAGCTTTTCAACTGCAATTCTAAGATACTTAACCGGTAGCAAGAAAATGAATGGTTAAATCTACATGCTAAAATGCCAGTACCAACGCGTTTATTATATTGAAAGCCAGTTTAAGTTTTTTCGTGTTTTAATAAACTTTCTGCCTGCCTTTAAAATATGTGCATGTTCTGATGCACTGCAAGTGGATTTTATTCTGTTATCATTTAGCCACAAAAGACTATTCACGGGTGATTTGAGGTTTTCTAGCCTTTCACCCTCAATGAGAGATTACTCACCCCTCAGCTGTGTCACAGCATCCCTCTGATCATCCTTTCCTCTTCTCACCGACATGGCGCAGTTGAGCCCACTTGTCACACAACCAAACGACTGCTACTGATCATGATTCTAGGTGTTCCTCCCCGGGCCAGCGAAACAGTGGATCTACCCCGCTCAGCTCACCTTGTCACCCCTAACTGAGTCCCCAAGGTTGATCAGGATCTCGTGAGCCTCACGATCCTCATGGGCAGGCGCAACGTGGTGGACGCTCGTACACTGCCTGGGGCCGAGTGCATGGGTCTGGGTAATGACTGAACCACGCGCGGAAGGCAGTGGATGTTCTTAAACCGTCTGAAAAACGAGAGTGGAAGGCACGGTTGCTGGCTGCAAGTACACTGTAAATTCAGAGCTACGAGGAAACGTGTTTTTGATCGCTATTGTGGTCGGT